AGTAAAATAAAAGGTGCACAATGGTACTATACAACAAAGATTCTGTGAAAGTCTCATTAAATTTTGTTTAGTGGTATGAGAGTTGTCGCAGATAAGAGATAGGTACCCCAAAGGACGGACGTACAGACAGACATACATACCGATTACTACATACCCTTACGCTTTTCAAGCGGGGGTAATAATAAAGTATATTCAGGGAATTCGATTTGAAATCACATGAATAGTAGTCCCGATACCTATATTAAATTTGACATTATTTTAAAGAAGAGGCCACGAAAATACAAATTACCATTTTCTGAGACACTGTAGGCAATCTGGATACATTTTTATCGTGTAATGTGGAAACAACCCCCATATTCATGCCTGGATTTCTTAATTTTTCATTGGGAATGACAGTTTAAAATAAGATTTTTCATCTTGTTTATACCTACGAATTATGCCCCAAAACACCTTATTTGACCAAGCTGAAGTTATAAAGCATCATTAAATGATTTTTTTTCTTAAATTTGATAAATCTGTAGGCACCTTTCATTTACTAGATCTTGACCATAAGTGACATATTGAGGAGGGATTCTTCTCATATTTTAAAAAATTACATGTAATGAAATTTTCGTATATTCGAGAAGACATCAACACTAAGTTTTGATATTTATTAAATCAGATTTGACCCTTTTATTTAAGAAGCAAGGTCAAAATGTTCAAAATAAGATAGATCCCAGTAAGCTTGAAATAAAAGATATCACAGAGTATGATACATCTGTTTCATATTTGTATATTTTACTAGAAAAAGATCATAAAAGGAATCTAACAACAAAGCTTTATGATAAACTTGTGTTGACTTCCCTTACTTAAGTAGCAATATTCCTTTATCTATAACTATATATCTCTTAGTTGATCCAATTTTTACAAGCAAATTTTCGGGTGAACACTGAACAACTTTCAAAAAAGAGGTAAGTTATTGACAAACAAGTTGGTAAAACAAGAATATCAGCGATACAGTTTCAAAGTCATCATTTCGTAAGCTTTATGGTTGATACAATGACCTTGTCAGCAAATTGCTATACATCTTTATATCATTTGCTGACAGACGTTTTTCATGTTAATTCTTAGCATTATTTACAAACTAAATTGTCGACAGATTTCCGTTATTTCCCGATCATTACAAGGAGCACACAGCGGGTGTGACCAGTCGACAGGGGATGTTCACTCCTCCATAGAGTCTGATCCAACCTCTCACGTTTTAGATCATGTTCTGTTTCATATATATATTATTTAATTGATTTTCGAGATTTCATACCGTTCATTATCTGCATATACAATATTTACGAGGGTTTTCCCAGAACAACGCAAACTTTTTGAATATTTCAAATACTATTCAATCAAAACTTTTTTTTCGCATACTTTTGGAAAATGGTCCTTTTGTTATTTTGACAAAATATTACAGACTTATGATGTCATATGTGTATAATTATAGCATTTAAAGCATGTTAATTAAATAGCGGTGGTCGACGTATGACAATTCTTTTACTTTACCAAATAGCATCGTCAATGAAGTGTTCTTTTTTTTTTATCAGACTATACGGAAATATAATGTCTCAAAATTTACCTACATAAATACTCTATGATCTGGTGTAGTCGTGTTTAGAAATTCAGTTGTTTGACATTATTAATGACAAGTATACGACGATATGTACCAAAGCACTATAAATTAGACATTGTCAAAAATGGTGACGTGGGGCTGTAATGTGGAGCTCAAAACTATCAAGCAACACTTTGTTGAGCGGAATATGACTCCTGTACATAGGGAAAAGAGATGTTAACGACGATAAGGCCACAAACTGAAGTATGGGAAACATATTCATCTCTAGATGAAGGGGTTTGAGGTTTACTTGACCGATTATCCGAATAATAAAATGAAGACAAACTGAAAAGACAGGAGCAGGACGTCATCGGCCTGCATATGATGACCTCCTTCAGACTTCAGTCTTCAGACTGGAATACATAAATGGAATCTTTGTTCATCCATTTGGATTTGATAAACAAAAATCAATAACAAATATGTACTTCAAGAAGAATTTTAAAAATCTCATTGGTTCTTCTGCAATTCTTTTTAAAACTTCGGAACATTAAGAGGCAAGATAGGTAATATGCATCTTACGTCATTTCCATCTGTTTGAGTCAAAACACATGATGATAGACGTTGAAATGAGCAGATACTATATGACAGGGATGTCTGAGAAAACACTGTATTGAAAGTCGAGCTAATTTTCAATCCACGCTCTCGGTTACAATTTTATTTAATGACCAAAAACACAAATACCCCCCCCCCGTTAATACGTACGGGGGGAAAACAGAAAATTTGATTTTTTCAATCAGAATTTTCTGTCCGATGTCTTAAAGAAATAAAAAGAAAAAGATCATTTGATTCCTCATTTGAAGAGAGGGCACAAAATCTTGAAAATAACAAAGAAAGTTAAATTTCCCCGTTTTTACTTGTCAAGCATTTAATTTTCAATGACAAAAAAAATGTTGGCAAATCTCTAGAATCAAATGGCCGTCTACTGACAGAAGATACAGCACGTATCTTTAAAAATTTAAGAGAATTGAAATTATTCATTTTGTCTTTTGGATCATACATACACTTTTTGTACCCGTCCATGTCATTGCCAATGATTAATAATTTTCACATATTCTAAAAAACAAACAAACAAACAAACAAACAAACAAACAAACCAACTTACCCATCGGTATCAAAATGTGTTAAAATGAACAATATATACCAAGTTTGAACATATACATCTACCAAGTTCTCCTTATATGACAATACAATTCGGCAAGGGATGCTCACTCCTCCATGGCACCTGATCCTACTTCTGATGTTTTGAAGGTCCGTCTTTGCTCTTCTTCTATTTTGTATTGTTTCATGGATTTTTGTTCTTGAATACTGTTCGTTATCTCCATATGTTTCATTGACACTGAAAGCATGTCTAGAGGCCGTCTTCAAGTGTTGGAGAACACTAGGTAGGTCATGTTAACATTTCTACATCAAAGAAGAGGGAATCATCAGCAAATACATGATAACCTGAGAAAATCACGCTTGGGTATACTGAGCTACAATGTTACTACGGATATTTAACTGGTGCTTAGCAACAAATAAGATATAGACAATAAGAATCATGCTTATCGGCAATTCAAAAATTAGTAAAGCTGCAAACCAAAGTGGGATAAAATTGTAAGTTCAATAACTTGTTTCTTGGATGATTCATGTTCTAAAATACGATAAACACGGCTATCAGAATGTTTATCCTTACTTATAGTGCAAACTGTTGTAATTCACCAAAAAATTCAGAACGGCAGCTGATAAATGATGTTCATCAAGGTTTAGTAAACTCTTGCAACACATTGCTTAAAATACATTCTGAACATAAAAAAATTAAATAATATACATAGGCCTTATAACTTAGCCGGGTTATCTTATTCAAGACTACATGAGATGTTTCTATAAATATTTGTTCTGTGTTTCTATATCAGTTAATTTCTAGAATAACAGGGATCAGAGCGGTTCTAGGGTTTAAACATGATTGGCAGATGTTGAAGTTTTATGACATTCTACTTTTTCCTCTCTACGTAATTGATTTGATTGGGATAAAGAAGAACTTGCGTCATGTGCGTCAGTTTCCAATCTCTTTTAAATAGAAGCTCTTTGTTCGTTGTGATGCTAGGATGATTTTTTTTAGGATAGTTAATGGTTCTATGAAAATGGTTTGTGTCAATAAATATGAAGGGCAAAAAGCACTGCATGTTTTACATTAAACTGTTAACTTATAACAAATTAATAGATTTGTTTTTATGAATTAATGGGCAATTTGGAATTATCTACAGGGTTAATCCGTAAGGTTCTACATATAATCTGAAGCTTTCTGTATGATCGGATCTAATTTAACTCCAGGCAAAAAACCTACTTCATCCAATCAGAGACTCTTATCGCACACAGCAGGCAGGAGAAAGAAGAACGAAGTGTGAAGAGATTTTAATCATGGCCTGTAACTCCAAAATTCGATCATCATAACACAAGAGGATGTATTAAAGAGTTGATGAGATTGATTCAGTTTGCAAGAAACATGGTGGCGCCGCCGTTAATGAATTAGAATTTACTCCTCCATAACATCAACAAAGTTAGCACGGTTTTATTCATCGTTGTACGAAGCATGCAACAGATCATAAATTCACAAGATTTCATTTAGTAGTGTAGGTCAAAAACATCACAAGTATATATATCACATTTTTTCAGTTGTTATTTATTTTCAAAACTAATTTCCCAGTTATATTATAAAGGTGGAATGTCTTCTTGGTGCTGAGTACGTAACAAGGTCATGGTCCGCTAGAGCGCTCCAGTTCACCGATCCTCTGAGCGACCTTGAACTGGGCACTGACGGGGTCAAACTCGGTGCCCGAAGCGTGCTGCGTCGCTTCTGATAGGACAGTTCCGAGTCAGTGGCTGACATTATGGAAGTAGAGGTAAAAGACGGAGGAACTCCGACAAAACTTGTCCGTGTTGCCAGTTTAACTGCTAACTGTCGGGCTCGAGAGTCCAACTGTAAAGAATGACAATAGTACGCCAAGCAGATAAAGATAAGAATACTGACCGCCGCTACAGAGCTGGCGATTAGTAAAGGAATGGGCGGATTATGTGGAGGCGGTCCGGAATATTCCGTCCAGGTCTCTGTGTCCGTGTCCAGCACCTTTAACACATTAGGAACGGACCCATTGTTTGTTTGGTTGTTGTCGAATTTAACACTTCCATTGAAAGATCCCGGTACGTCCATGTCACCTCTGTGTTTAGTTCACTCCTTCAGACACTCTTCTGACGTATTATGATTAAGTTCTCCATCTAAAATTTTTACACTTCAACTACAAAAATAGCACTTTTTTCTTTCCTTTTTTTACACAATGCTTTACGAATGGTAAGGATCGTAATCCTGTGGAGGAATGTGGCATTTGGTGTACCTCATCCTTAAACTGTGAGTATTTGTTTAGCTGCGGGACCGCATCATATGTCAACAAGACTGATAAGTTCTATCTAAAATAAAGATTCCAGATATAATCTGTCAGACATTGGCTCTCAATAGCGGTGTTTTACCTCATATAGATTAGCAAGGCCGTTATCAAGCTCGAAAACACGATTCGGATAAAACAAAAATTCAAGAAATCCTGATAAATTATTTTAATCACAATTCCTTCCTGATTCAAGCTGTATCATTGGAATTATAAGTCCGTTTTGTTATAGGTACTAAATTCTCAAATCTTGAAGTTTAAATCGTTGCTTCTGAGAACACATGGAGAAATCATGTTTTATTGTATACACATGGCCATCAATAGTTTAATTCGAGCACGTTATATATAGCTGACGCGGTAAGCTCCTCTAAGAATCTAAGTCCCCGCCGGAGTCAGCTTCTAAGATTACCAGATTGTATGTTAAAAGATGGACCGGTGATAGACAGATAAAAGACGGGGTTTGGTAACAGGTACGGTATACATTCCGTCTAGGAGAACCATTGTAGCTGCACGAACTAAGAACTCTGTTATTGATTGGTCATCACTCTACTGCTGCAAAGGTTCACGTCATAAAAAATTAAAATCGGCCATATATATATATATATATTTTAAAAATCTTGTTTTCCAAAAAAGCAATTATCAAAATTCTATTCTCAATTAAAATTGTTTTTGTTAATTCTATGAAAAAATAGATATATATTATAATGAGAGAGAATCTATCATTTGTTCATCTTTTATATTCAGGAAAGGTTGCCGAAAAAAAATGCTTCAAAATTATCAAAAGAGAATCAGACTCTAATTTGAGTCTCCATTGACGTATAGTTTCAGTTAATTAATAATTCACCAGTAATCTCTATAAGTAATGTTTGGTGTACCGTTAATCCAGAAATACTCATTATCCTGCATTATAGATTAAAGCTGAACTTTTATCATTTATTTTGATTTTTAAAAAAAGCTGATCTAAGACAGGCCTGTTTTTTCTTCTAACTCACTTTGAGATTTAATTACGTCATACCAAGATTGAATTAGTATTTTATGTAATTTGTGATATTTTAATCCTCAATTAATTCCCTCACTGGGTGCACATAATTTTTTTTTAAAGTACTCGAATATTTCGAGGCTTTTGAAGATCGTTAGAAATGCTCACTCTTCAATCACTAACAAGTATGAAGATAGGTATAAAGTATATACTCAATTTTTCACAGTAGGAGTATATTTCATTTTTCAAACAAATTCATAAGTAATCATGTATGATATGAATTAGTTTGAAAAATTAAATATACTCCAACCGTGAAAAATTGAATACCGGTAGGTTATATGCGAAATATTTTACTAGAATTCTATCGAGACATTGCCTTCTTGATATATGTATAAATGTATGCGAACTATTGAAGAATAACACTCCATCTCGTGTGGATGTGGCTTAAAAGCATTTGAAATGGTTTTAATTCCTGAGGTCAGTTTTTATTGAATGCCTGTTAAACGTTACCGACTCCAGCTTTTATCAAAATTATACCTCTAAAAAGTGTTCTATCTAAACAGCCTCTTCTTTTTACGTCATTGCACATAGCAGTTAATTGATTATAACAGTTTGTAGTATTCTGTTAAGATAAGAAAATGGCATTTTTGCATTAGGAATTGTACTTAAATCAAATTTAATAATATATATTTAGAATCAATGGATATAGATATTGCAGAACATATAACGAAGTTCTGAGTAAACATTTCAGCAGTATGAAATTTTGAATTATGCTTCTTAAAGGTATTTTCATCTGTTCACTAGGCATCGAGTTTTATTTGCATTATATGAAGTTTTTGGCAGTCCTGTACCCCAATAAAAACAACAAAATTGCCAGGGCAGCCACCCAAAAAGTTACTTTTTAAGAGCAATCCACACCATATTATTCACTACAACATGAAACGACACAGTTTTTAGAGTATTTAAAAGTCTCCCTAGCATCTAGAATTACGTTCATTTACCGTGTATTTTATAATTTTTGGTGCCAGCTATGTACATGTATAAGTATTGATTCAAGTTTCCTCATCTCAAATAAAGTTGAAAACTTTTAATGAACAGTGGAGCTATGATAAGGCATGAGCTAGATTGCATTAAAAACTTTAATATTAGAAATTCTAGACCCCACACCTTCCTACCAACCCCGCAAATGATGACCACAAAGGGAGCAAGTCAGAGCGCGATAAGAAAAAGATTTCAGTGATCATTTTCATTAATTCATTTAAGGTAGTCTGATCCTCAGGTATATAAAATTAGCAGTTAAGTAATCAAAAATACTCATAAAAGTATCTCTGAATCCACAAAGTTATGTAAATTTATCCACAATATTTCTTTAAAGTTATAGATTAAAGTTAATCATATTATATACTGAAAATTGTCAAATCTCCAATATTTTTGCAGAAAAAGCGAATTGGAATATCAGCAATGCATTTTCTAATTGCAAACTGATCAGCAAATATATTTTAGGTTATAAAACGATAGGTATCCAGGCACTCAGAGAAATTGTCATGATTTTCATACTTATTTGGTATTTTTTTTTTTTTGTCTTCTATTTTCGTCATGTATTCTATGATATATAGTGTAAAAGGCTTTTGCTATCATTGCAAGACACCACAGATCACTTTTCATTTCATATCATGCCAATAATCATTGGTACTAAGGCTGGATTCAAGAAAAGCTTATTTCTCTTAAACTGTATTAATTAAGGTCTTCCGTTTCCAACGGAAGACCTTCTACTGATTCTGATGGTAAAGATTATTATTCTTTTTTTTTCTTCTACTTCCTAGACCGCAACTTTAAGGCCTCATATCTCACTCATTTCTCAATTGATTTCGCTCAAATTTTCAGAGGTTATAGACGTTTATAAACTCTATCAGAATACTGACTAAAATTTCAAAAAGTCACTTCCGGTTTTGAGTTATTTCCCTTTGAAAATTTATAGGCTTTTGTTTTGATGGCTAAACCTGGAGCAGAAATTCTACTGATTTTAGATAATAAAAAGTTGTGCACATCGGTTTTTGTTTTTCGATTTCTTTTCAAAATGGCGCTATATAGGGGTCAAAAATTTTAAAAGAACCAAAAATTACTCATATTTTGCTTTTTATCTTTAAACTAAAAATTAATATATCATAATTTGTGCAGAATTAGAAGATCTTTCAAATGATATGTCGGAAAAAGGGCTGACCCCTAAATTAAGGGATTTATAGGGGCCAAAGTTTTTTCCAGATATCTCAAAAAGTATTGAGAATTTGTTATACATTAAAGAAGCAAAGTTGTTGAAAATGTCAAGCTTAATCTAATGGAGTCGTCAAAATATGACCAGCGTCATCACTTCCGGCCAAACCGGAAGTAGTCGGAAAACGCGTATTTTTGCCGTTTTTGACAAGTTTTTGGGTAACATATGTCTCTGGGAGCTTAAAAATTAATTTTCCGTGCGTCGTCGTCACTTCCGGTCAAACCGGAAGTAGTAAAAATGGCTTATTTTTGCATTACTTGACATGGCTTTAGAGGATTCAAAGCATTTTTTGGGCGTTATTTCTCATTTTTGTGAAAAATGAAAGCTACTTCCGGTCAAACAGGACGGAAGACCTACTCGTTGCTTTGCAACGAGCTTTGCTCTAGTTTTTTCTCCTTTTATAGGATAAAAATGTCCACTTTTATAAGACCTTTTCTAAGACTTCCAAAGACGTTGAATCTTATAAAGATAAATAAAATGAAAATTGTTGCATGAAAAAAATTCATTTTCAAGCTTCATTTTGATGCATTTCAAATTAAATATCAATTTTGGAGGTATCCTCCCTGGCTGAGGATCGAATATCCTTAAGAAATTTATCAAATCCTGTGAATGCAGAATGCCTTCTCAGAAGATTTTATTACGACCACTTCAATTCCTTTTGAAGTTTATAAACTTGTTCTTTATTACTTATATGTATATATACATTTGAGACAGACAATTGAGTATTTTCGAATATAAATTATTGCACTAACCGTCCATCTTAGATTTTGAAAAATGACGCAAGGTGTAAATCGGCTTGAATGGCGGTTACTCTTCGAATTCATCAGGCTACGGATTTTATTTCTAAGGGATTATTTTGTGAAAGGCTACTTAAGGATTTTATTTCTAAGGGAATATTTTGTGAAAGGTCACTTGTGATCAGTAATAGTGAACAGATTGTTGTCTGGGAATATTTTTATTCGTGAAAATTGATAATCGATGCTGAAAAGACACAAATAACATGTCCGAAGATCGATGATAAAAAGTTGGATGAATTTCGGTCGCCGGAAAGGGATAGATGGATCCGATGGATGGAAACGCTTAAGTCACACAGTTAATTTACAATCATATATTAAATTTGATCAAAAACATTCAATCTACAATTTTAATAAATAAAAGCATATTACATGCATGATGAAAACACGGAAACACTGGCGACAGCATATTGTTACGACAACGCCGACTTGTTTATCAGCTATTCGTGGCGTGAGTGTGATGCTTTGATAATTTCCAACAGACTTACACATTTATCGTGAGTAAAATTTATTGAAAAAATTATAGTTTTTCATGGAATTTTAACTAAAGGTCTACGCCAAAAATAAGGATAAACGTTAGAGACTTTGCAGCTGACAAAAGTGACATAAAACTTGTAAACAAACGCTAGGCTAGTTTTTATGTGTATATTCTCTATGTAAGCAGGTTAAATCAATCGCCCCCCCCCCCAAAAAAAAACCGTATGAAATACTCGTTTACATCGTCGGTAAACATTAATTGATCTTACAATTCATGGTCAACACGTCGGTCAAATTTTGACCAAAAAAAATGCATAATTTGAAAAAAAAAATATACTGAACAAAAAAAGAAACGCATAATCAGAATAATTTGAAATTCTAAGTTTTCAGTTTAAACCTTGTATTATTTAAGCGATTTTAGAGTGTGTTGTGATAAAAATCAATGTTGCAAATTGAAAAGTCAAGTTGAGGTCATTTTCATTGCCCCCAAATTCAAGGGGCATAACAATATTGACAGTGACTGTGCAAAGTCTCAATGTTAGTGGGTTTCCAATGTACGGATATCGTGGGGGAATGTCATCTCATTTTAGTCTCATGCGAACAATTTATGCATTTTTATGCTGATTTTTTCATCCAGCAATTGTAGCAGCAGTTTTTACAGCAAGTTCTGAATCGCATGAGGTGATGAAGGGGGGGGGGGGTGTCTGACGGTCCTGCCTGGTTGTGGTTACCTGCGGATGGCCAGATAGTGGTCTTCAGACGTTAGTTTTAAGGTTGCAAAGCCCATTGATTTATTTCAAATACAGTTGCAACTTCCTGTTGCGTAGTTCCATTTAGTATCGTCGTTAGCCTGGCTGTATTCATCTTTGTTTAGACGTGGCATTGCAGTATTAACACTGCAATCAAATCTTAAATATGGGTTTAATAGAAGTGTTAAAAGTTTCTCTAAATCCAAAATATCAATGAAAATAGACATCTGATTTAGAAGAAATCATGAAAAACACTACTTTCATAAACATGTTTAATCAAGGGAGATAATTCAACACTTGGGTTTTAAAACCCCATGTTGTCCTTTAAATAGGTCACAGGTATCCAATGATATAAAAAATAGTTGTTTCATGTACATTTTAAAAATTTCTTTGACGAGTAAAACAATATGCGTTTCTTTTTTTGTTGAGTATAATTAAAATCCACCTATTTGTAGGTAGCTTGATTTTCACTTATAAATGGTGATCATACTACGAGAGAATGAACTTTATCTTACATACGATGGCTGATTAATACTTTACCTTAAGGTAAAATTTTTATTTGTGACTAATAGCTCTATTAAATGTTAATTAGCTTGGAACAGATTTCTACACGAGTATCATACATATGATTTAGATACCATCACCTGGGGAATTTAAGGCATTCTTCCCATATGGTCCAACTTGGTAGGCAATGAAGGAGCTGAAGTTGCATCTTTTAATTGTATTCCTCGTTTTGTCTTGCTGTGTGAGTGAAGGTAAGGTATTGAGTGATATATGAGGACGATTCAGTTTTAAACATTTAGGATAATAACTTATGATGTTGCACTTGCATGACGTTAGATATTTGTGACGTAAAAATACTAAGATCTTTTAAATCTTTTGACTTCCATGTCTGTCAAGCGTTTTATGTTATTCTGAATGCTAAAACAATCCACACATTTTATAAGCAAAATACATGTGGAATGTAAATTTCATTGATTGTCGGGTAGCTCCAACGAGTGCTTTTAAAGTTTTGTAACATGAAAATGTAATACCTGATTATGAGAATACAGAAAAAAATTAACAAATTTATATCTGGGAATACATACCAAACTTCATTCTAAACATGATAAATAATATGCAAATATTTTTCAATACACACGATTTTCATATCTTAAACCTTCTATCCGATCCAGCTCCACCGAAAGCTAAACGGAAAAACATTTTGGAAGTAAAATTGAAACAAGGCGAAAATGGAAATTTGCATTGCAACATTACCGGAGATCCGCACCCGACGTATACATGGGAAAAATACACATACTGGTGGAAAAAAGTCAAAGTATTCCCCACAAAAGTAAACCTGCGTTTTTATTCAATTCAAGTAATTTTGCATTTCATTTGTTTTTTATGCAATTCAAGTACATGTAATATAACATTTTAGTTCAATTATATCTTAAGGTTCAATATTCTGATGATTATAGAATTCGAAAGCAATTGCTATCATTATAAAATCCATTTGAGTAGCTATTTTGCTGTGTTTGCTTTGTCAGAAAGAAGTTCTTCGTTTGGAAAATGTAAATTCGGCTGATGCTGGTATATATCTTTGTACGGCAGAAAACAGGCTTGGAAAAGCTGGTCACAGATTTGTTGTCCGTGTGCCTACCACTCCAGAAATAATCAGATTTGAAGTGCTTGAAGCTGGCCACATGTATTGTCAAGCCAAAGGTTTAAACACGCTTTTAAAAAATCTCACTAAAAGACATGACCCCAACATCATGTTTAAAACACAAGCTACATTTCTTTGATTTTTTAAATAGATTTAGATGTATAAGTTAATTTACTTGTGTTTTTATCTTTTAGGATACCCCGTTCCTGATATCACTTGGGAAAAAGCAACAGGCTCTCAGTGGATTCCACTGGAAAGTGGAGTAAAATACTCTTCTGAGTTCATCAGAAAAAAGACCATGATTCTTGGATACCTGGCGATTTTGTCACCCAGTCCGGAGGATCAAGGGATTTATCGATGTAGTGCTGAAAATTCAGTTGGAGTAGCCAAAAAAGATATATCTTTAAATGGCCAATTAATCTGAGGAGATAAATAAAATAAAATGTACATTCGATTTGTAAAATACTTTTATCTTCAGTTACGTCCCAACGTAATTCAAATTTCCATTTACCATTTCCCCTGGCCTTGTAACTACTAATTAAATATGGATATAGCGAACGATAGTCTAAGCTTAAAATTCTGTCCAAAAATACAAATTGGGGCAGAGCTAACCCGAACCTCTAAATCATTAGAGGTCGGATCCGGTGCCCTGGAAGAGTCAGCATCCGCACGAGTCGGTCACACCCGCCGTGTGCTCCTTCCCCTGAACGGGCAAATGGAAAAATCCAAAGACAGTGTGTAAGTGATGGCCTAGCAACTAGTATGAACAATGTCAGTCAGCATTCAACTTAAACAATACATTGAATTTGCTGACAAGGTCATTGTATAGACCATAAGCCTTGAGAAATGTTGACTTTAAATGACATTCTTGATAATTATGTTTCATCAATTCGATTGTCAACATCTAAGCAGTAGACCAATTTTTATATTGAAATATTCAGATAATTTGGTTTTACTCAAGATTAGATATGAAACATCTTATGTTGATAATGGTGACTTAAAACAGACTTCCTAATTCAAGCTGTATATAGATTTCTTGTACATTGGATATTAGAAGCCCCCAGGTAAATAACACCATTACTAAGACAGATCCTTCGCCCATCTTCTCATGTAACCGTATGATCTTTTCATTATCTACCAAACAACCGACCATAAAGAAAAATCTCTATTACATGTAGTGTGTATTTTGCATAAATTTATGCGCAATCCAAAAGACAAACTTTTTATTGAGCCTTCCAAAATATGGCTGGCTTTGTCAAATAACAATTTGAAGCATAGACGTTGTTTATTTTCAAATGAAAACCATAGAGGATCGTCCAGCTGATCAGCAAAGCCATTGTTAATAAACCACCGCCTGTTTCCTGATACAGCAGTTGAGAGCTATCTAGGTTGAGCAGGTAAGCGGAATAATTCATTTAAGGAATAAGTGTCTTATTTTTCGAATTCATGAAGTGATCAATGGATTGGCTTGTGTGATAATTTGCATAAAATTATCACACAAGCCAATCCATTGATCATCTTCATGAATTCGAAAAATAAGACACTTATTCCTTATATTTACATGCTTTGATTCCGCCAATCCACGGGCTCCAAGCCTGCTTCTCTCTAGGTGTTGTCCCGCCCTGCACGTGGTTTTTTTTTTTTTGGAAGCGCGCCAAGACATTCAAAAGGAAATAAATTACATTTACAATTGGTAATTTTATCTCGGACAAAGACATTGGAAATGTAAATATACTCCGATGGAGGATATTGACTGATTCTTTGCACGATGAGCGCTATATATTTCAGTCAAATTATTATTGACGTTTTTTTTAAAAAGAAAAACGTTATAATAATGATCACATAATTTGCAACATTATGACTTGAAGTGAAACTGTTCAAAGCCCTTTTACCTCAATAAATTATTTACAACCTGATAAAAACGGATCGGATCAAAACGGATTACAAGTACATATTATTACATCTTTCCCCTTTTAAAAATAAAATGTAAAAAATAAACTTTACTGTTAATTTAGATAGAAAATTTCAACTTTATAATTTACTGAAAGTTCGAGATTATAGAATAGCATAATTACATAATATATACAGTCAATCATGAATTCATCTTTCAATATACCGGTAAGTTCTCAAATTTTATCACACTGGGAATTATTATGCCCCTCACACAATTACATCACTTGAGGATTATTATGCCCCACACATAATCACATCACGCATAATCCTGGAATCTGTTGGGTCGTATGACCTCACGACCAGATCGCGTTTTATATGTTTCTGCTCGTATCGGCTGATTCAGCTCTAATGATTGTTCTGGCACATTTTTCTCGAGTTCTGGCTGCACGGCTACTTATGTCTCACTGAAGTCATCTAGGTCATCATTTTCTGGGATAGCTTTTCGCAAGCTTGTTTCCTCTGATTTGATGATATCTCTGCGATTTCGACGAAATTTATCACCATTTAAGTTTTCTACATTGTACGATCGATCATGAACTTTATCTTTCACATATCCTGGCATCCAATGTCCTCTGTGTTGGAATTGCACTGTATTTCCAGGTTTCATATAAGGAAAATCTTTCTGTCCACTGTTGAAATACTTCTTCTGTTGATTCTGCGAGTTTCTTCTCTTTTCATAAGTTTTCTCTGCTGAAACAACTTAAGGTCTGAGTTGTTCTTTGGTGATGGGTAGAATAGATCTGAGTTGTCTGCTCATTAGTAGCTGCGCTGGTGAATCAACATCTGATGGCGTGTTCCTATATTCTAGTAGACTAATGTAAGGATCCCTTCCATCAACTCTGGCTTTTTCCAACATACGTTTTGCTGTTTGGACAGTTTTTTTCTGCTAGACCATTCCCTTGTGGATAGTACGGGCTTGATGTATTATGCTTGAATGCCCATTTGTTTGCAAAGTCCTTGAATTCCCTGGATGTATATTGCGATTCATTATCGCTGATTACTTCGAATGGAATACCATGTCGGGCAAATGCAGATTTCATATGAATGATGACGGTTTTACTCCTAGTATTTTCAAGTTTGGCAATTTCAAAGAATTTGGAGTAATAATCCACTATGACCAAATAGTCCTCATTGTTCAGTGTGAACAAATCAGTTCCGACAAACTGCCATGGTCCATTTGGTATGGGTGTTGTATTAGTGTTTCTTTTGTATTCTTCTTTCTGAAGTCCATGCATGTGTTGCATTTGGGTATCATTGATGCAATATCTGCGTTCATTCCGATCCAATAAACTACTGCTCTTGCACGAGCCTTTGTTTTCTCCAACATGAAGATACCTTAGAATTTCTGGTTGTAGAACTTCTGGAATTACGATTCTCTCGTTTATTATAACAATTCCATCCACAGATGTTAACTCGAATTTCATCCTCCAAAATTCTTGTAGTGGTTTGGACAGCTGATTCCTGTATTCCGGCCAACCATTTTCAATATGATGAATCACTTCCCTGAGAATTGTATCATTCCTGGTTTCATTCTTGATATCTTGTAAAATATCCTTAGCTAAAGGAATCCTCTCAAAAAAACACAGAATTCACATAAGCTTCGATTTCGTCATCTATTTCTTCTTTCTGTTTTTTTTTCACTGAAGGTAGATGAGCACGTGATAGTGTGTCCGCTATTATCAAATCTTTTCCTGGAGTGTACTTGAATTCAAAGCAATATTTCTGAAGGCGAAGTAGTAATCTTTGTAGCCTTGGTGGAGCTTGAACCAGTGAATGTTCTCCAGCGGCTTGTGGTCATTTTCAACAACAATGTTTACTCCATAAGTATACTGGTGGAATCTTTCTAGACCAAAAGTAACAGCTAACAGTTCTTTTTCTATCTGAGCATAACGTTTTTCAGTCTCTGTTAATGCTCTAGACGCATAGGCAACTGTTTTTTTGTTCTGTATAAGCACTGCACCTAGTCCACATTTTGAAGCATCCACTCTTACGCATATAGGTTTTTTCACATTGAAAAAAGTAAGAACTGGTTCCTTGGACAAAATTTCCTTGATAGCCTTGAATGCATCCTCCTGTGGTTTCTCCCAGATAAACATATTTTCACTTCTGAATAAGCTTCGGATTGGTTCATTTAAGACTGACATGTTTGGAATGAATTTGGCAAGATAATTCACAGTTCCTAGCAGACGTTCGACTCCTTTCCTATCCGTTGGTGGTGGCATGTTGATAATTGCTTCGACTTTCTCTCGGTCAGGTTTTACTCCTTCCTTTGAAATCACATGTCCTATGTAAACAATCTCTGTCTTGTTGAACTGACATTTGTCCTTATTCAGGGTAAGGTTAATTTCCATGCATTTCTGTAGTACAGCTTTTAGTCGTCTGTTGTGTTCCTCTTTATTTCTCCCCCACACAAGTATGTCGTCTATGTCCACTTCAACACCTTCAATACTGTCAAAATGTTGAGCAATCCTTCTCTGAAAAAACTTCCTGTGCGCTCTTTATGCCAAAAGGCATGCGTCTGAAACAGCATCGTCCATATGGTGTATGAAATGTTGTAAGAGGTTGACTGGCCTCATCTAGTGGTATTTGCCAGTATCCACTATTTGCATCAAGTTTGCTGAAAATTGTGGCTCCGGATAATCTGGTTGTGATGTGCTCAATGGTAGGTAACTGAAAATGTTCACGTTTGATGGCTTCATTCAAGTCACGAGGATCCAGATATATACGTAATTTTCCTGTTTTGGATTTTTCAGCGATCACAAGAGAATTAATCCAGTCAGTTGGTTGGTCGACTTTCTTGATCACTTCCTTGGCTTCCATACCATCTAGAGTTTTCTTGATTCCTCATGAAATGCTACTGGTATTTGTCTAGGACTATGAACAATAGGTGGTACGCTAATGTCAACACGGATGGTGTTTGGTTCCTTCAAGCATCCTAATCCTGTGAAAACACTTGGAAATTCATCAATAGGTGAAAAATCACTCTGTAGTTTTTCTGTAGCTAATGCCACTTTGATCAGCCCAAGTTCACAACAACTCTTATATCCTAATACTGATGGTTGATTTGCGTATGTAACGTAACATTCTAGTTGTTGATCTTTATATGGAAGAACACACTTTCCTGCTATAGGTATGGAATCACCTGAGTAACTCGTAAGTTTCACATTAGTTTTGGTGAGTGTGCTATTTAGTTTCTTGAAGATTTTTCTCTGTGACGATATTCACTTGAGAGCCTGTGTCCAACTTTAACTTGATAGGAATGTTGTTTATTTCCAAACTTGAGTATATTTCATCTTGACTGTTTCCACTTGAAATAGCACCAATAAAAAAACTTCTCACTTGTCTCACAGCTGTTTGTCATTTCATCTGATTCTAGTTCATTGGAATGAATAGACTTAGTCCTCTACTTTGATGCGAAATGTCCTAACTTGTGACATCTGTTACATTTTTTCCCGAATGCCGGACATTTTCCTTTCTCATGCTGGCTTCCACATTTTCCACATGAAAAGGATTTCGTGTTGATAGGTTTACTTGACACACTTTGCTTCTTAGGTTGATACACATTTCCATTCATATATTTCTGGGTTGACGGTTTGTTTCCTACTGACGCTTTGACAGACTGTTTAAATTTCACAGCATCCACATGTTCCTCATGTTGTAGATCCTTTAATCTATTCTGTGACTCTTCATTAGCACGACACCTACTTAAAGCTTTCTGTAATGTGAGTTCATTGTCTCTGAGTAACCTTTCTTTGACTTTCTCTGAATAAACTCCACATACAATTCTGTCTCTTAGCATTTCATCTTCTAATGCACCAAATTTACAGTTTTTGGAAATTATTTTCAAGTCCGTAACATACTGGTCAATGGTTTCTGTTTTACCTTGCACTCTGGTGTGAAACCTATGTCTCCAAATTGTGATATTTTCTCTAGGAGCACAGTAGTCTTTGAACTTCGTAAACAGTGTATCAATCTCATCAATATCTTCATCTGGTATTGTCATAGTGTTAAATATTTCTCTGCCTTCTTGACCAATCATATAGAGAAAAGGACTACACTTATATTTGTTCCCACTTTCTCCATCTCTCTGGTAAATTCCCGTCTGTAGTAGAGAAGTCTAACTCTGGTGGAGGACGAATGTGTTCCATTTCTTTTCCTTCTGGCACCATGTAATGTTTCTATTAGTCAAACTTAAGCCATGTCGTGCTGCATGATTTTTTATTCTGTCCCAGAGTTTACATTTTAATCAAAACATTAACAACCTGATAAAAACGGATCGGATCAAAACGGATTACAAGTACATATTATTACAGCCTGCTTCGGTTAAAAAATGATGGTAGTTGGAGCATATTTTTGTAAACTGAATCAGCTTATAGGCATAAACACCATATGCAGGTTAAAATGGGATATTTCCTTCTCTCTATTTTCTCCTACAATACACCAGCACTCAAAAGTTGCCTTCATTTCACTATGAAGGAAACATCTGCTAATTTTTCAAATATAAGAAGTGAGATTAGGTGCCACGGGACAGTAAACAACCCCTGCTAACAGGTCACGCCCGTCGTGTGCTCTTTGTGTGATTAGGCGATGAAATAAATTCTTTTACTCTCTTTAGTATAATGAAAATTTTTCCCATTTTTTGCTAAAGAAGGATATAAAGATAACGAACAGTATTCAATATCAAAGTCCATAAAACAAAACAAAATAGGAACAGAGCAAACATGGACCTCCGAAACATCAGAGGTGGGATCAGGTGCCATGGAGGAGTGAGCATCCCCTGCTGTCCGGTCATAACCGCCGTGTGCTCCTTGTCATGATTGGAAAATAACGGAAAAATCCGTCGTCAATGCGGTGTATAAATAATGGACTAAGAATAAGTATGAAAAACGTCAGTCAGCATTTGACTCAATGATAAATTGTATTTGCTCACAAGGTCAGCAAATCTTTTTTAAAGATATCCGTCCTATTTTAACAGTTTCTTTCTTATATTTACTAAGTATTTAATTTAAGTTTTCTTTCATTGATTTTTATTTACTTTTAAGGAGGTATCACTGTCCTTTCTAAAATCTGAGAATTTGTGGAGAATATATACAAAATATATATAAAACAAAACATGTGGGGCAATACGCTTCAGTACTTAGAATATGCAACTGTGCACTGAAATTGCTTTTTACACATAAATCACGTTTTAAAAAGTTTTCTCTATATATTTTATTCAAATAAATCATACGACAAAAAAAACAACTACACTCTTATTCTATTTTGAATGAACATAATAAAACTTGTCGAACATGTCAAGGAGCACACGTTGTGTGGGACCGGTTGGTAGGTTATGCTATCTTCTATCACCTGATATTTTGGAGGTTCATTTTTGCTCCAACCCTATTTTGTAATGTTTTGTGGACTTTTGAGCTCGAATTCTATGCGTTATCTCCACATATTTCATCTAAAGACATTTCATAACAAAAATATAAATCCTGTCTTGTATGGAATTTCATCATGTGTATTTAACTGATTATGATTTAATTCGCATTGTGAAATTTAAATTACTTTTAAAAGAAATAAAATGATACAATATTTTGGGACTTAAAGGTTTAGAAAAAAAAAATGTCATTTTGCAAACTTTGTGAACAGTAAATACCAAGCGGCAAATTCAACAGTTACAACATGACAAAAATATCTTCTTAAATGTTCAAGACCCAAGCTCCTTAGAATCTCTCATGACATATATTCATCAGAAAAGATAAAGTGGTTATAGAGGAAAAAATATTAAAAGAAATACAATCAAATTGAAAAGCAATAGACCACTGGTTATGATCTCACCCTTTTGGTGAGCTTAAAGAAATTTGTAATACAATGTCTCCCCTAGAGTGATGTATATTACAAATACTGGTTTATACATACGAATTTATACATAATTGAAATAAGGTCTTTAGTTTGAGTATATAATTCACGATCTAAAGGCTTGATGTCTAACTGATAGTAGGTCTCCTAAACAACATATATGTATAATTTTGAGATTGAATACTGTTCGTTATCTCCATATCCTTCTTTAAACGTCACTCCACCGCAGAAATCTTTCACATTGAGTTACCTGTGGGTTTTATTTACATATTCCGGAGATCTTACCTGTTCACTTCTACAACTTAACTATTAAGAGCGTATTTTTTTACTCGTGTTCCTATTCCTACTGATCGACATAACACTTAGAACAAAGCATGGCTGAAGAACTATTCCTTGAGGATTATATTACGATTGGTGTCTATTTTGTCATTGTTCTAGCAGTCGGATTATGGGTAAAATAACCTTTACGTTTTAAAATAAGCATTGGTCGGTCAGCTGTTTATTTTTCTGAGGAAATCAAAATATCAAACTATAAGTTCATTTATCTGTTTTTGAAATACTTCATGCTTATTCTTTAAAAAATAAGAATCTAGAGTGAGATTAATTCCAACTCTTCTTCAATGTTTTAGTCGACTTTTCGACCTAACAAGGGAAATGCCAAGGGATACTTTCTGGCGGGGAAAGACATGCACTGGATACCGGTAAGGTTTGCAATAACAGACAAACGTGAATGTAGCATGTGCAATGTTGTTATTAAAAATCAGTCAAGTGTAAAACTTGGTACACAGAAGGTAAACAATAAATACCACACTGTGACATGACGAGCTAGCCTTAAGACAAATTATTTAGGCCATCAGAGGAAAATATCTATATATACAATTAAAGTACCCCAGTAACAACTATGACTTCTAATTTCTTCTTTATAAACAAAACTCTTCCCTCTTTTCACTACCATGCTGTGCATTCAAATGTCAAACACACACCAATCATGCTAAGTTTCAAAAGAGGGAGTCATATAGTTATAACGAACAGTTATGAAAGTCCATTGAACAATGCATATAGGAGCAGAGTAAACACGGACCTCCAAAACTTAAAAGGTGGGTTCAGGTGCCATGGAGGAGTGAGCATCCCCTGCCGACCGGTCACACCCGCCTTGTGATCCTTGTCATGATCGGGAAATGACAGAAAAATACGTCGTCAATTCAGTGTATAAATAATGGACTAACAATTAGGATGAAAAAGTCAGTCAGCATTTGACTTAATGATAAATTGTATTTGCTGACAAGGTCATTGTTTCGACAACAGAGCTTCCTAAATGATGACTTTAAACGAGACAATGATGACTTTAAACGAGCTGATTTTTTGTGATATCAACAAGTAACCTCGTTTAAAAATACTGGCATCATTAGGTGTAAATGAACTTCTCAGCAACAAGGGTAATCTACTGTTAATATATAAAAGGAAGAAAAGTTAAAAGGATATCAACAATCTGGTTTAAAGCCAACATTTGTCAGATTCTATGCTCAATACAATAAATTTATTTGAAATAGCTCGCAAGATTAAGTCATTTATTACAAAATGTTATGTTTTTTATCGGACTCTCCACAAATTTAATCGTTAACCCGGTCAGTACGAGTAACAAATGGTGCGAATGTGACTGGTTGACAGGAGATGCTTACCTCTTTTTCAGGGGTTTCGTGTTGGTTTTGTCACATCTAAATACTTTGAATGATTTTTGGGCTTTCCAGCTTTTCGGTCATATCGGACTTTTACAGGTACTGGAATTTTCAAAACAACAGATTGCCGACACAATCATGCTTTGCTTTATGAGTTTGATATAAATGTATAGATATTCAAAATATTCAACTAATACATAATTTTCCCGTTCATAAAATATTTTTGTAAACTATAGCATTGCAAGATTTTTTTTTTTTTTGCTAAATTCCTATTCTCATATGAAACACGAAAACAAGAGTCTGAAAACTTATTTTATTAAATTTAATATTCAAGAATTAAAAAAAGAGAATTTTTTGGATATATATGTACTTTTTATGTTAATTCATCCGCATTTAATTCAATTGTATTTACACAATTGTTTCTTTACAAAAAGCACGTTGTTTAATATTCTTTTATTCCCTAGCTCTTGTGATGTTTGCAGTAAAAATGTTAATTTAATGAGTTACTTGTAAAAAAAAATCTGAGGTAAAGTCAAATAGGTGTTTCAAATACAATGTATATAAATGTATGTAAACTTATTTAACTATGTAGACTCTTTGCACAGGTCACACAGAATACCCGAATTCGACATGGTGATTTACGTTAAGGTTCATAGACATGTTCGGAATATTAAGCAGAGAGAATATAAGGAGTTTGTGACATTGAATACATGTACAACCTAACCATTCTATTGGATTATCATTTGAAGACAAAAGTAAAAATTCATACATATGCTGAAATCCTACATCATGGTAATCTTTCAATTGGCTTGCAATTTTTTTTAAAAAGACATTTTTACTTACTTTTTTCAATCACCTAACATAAACTGCATCAGAAGTTTTACATTTGTAGGGTAAATATTTATGTTCGTTTAAAAGAATTGCAACCCTATCAACTTGATATGAAAAAGAAAACAAATAATGATATACATAAGTAATTATAAGAATCTTATGTAGAAACCAAATATTTTTACAATCAATATCTCAACATACTACCCTTTAACAATTGAAACTTAAACAATACAGTGGCCGACATAATTATTTAAATTTCGCTTGGAATACAATTAATTGTGAGAGTGCCTTTATTTTGTGTACATTCGATTCATTGATGAGGGTAAAATAAGAATGCACATGTTTCAATTTAACAATATGATTATAAATATGCTCTTTTTAAAGATTATTTATTCAAACGATTACAAATTATAATATGACCTGACAGGAGTGATTGCAATTTCGGATTTTGAGTTAACATGAGAAATGTAATTTTTGGATATAAAAAATATGTGAAATCACCGATACATAATTAGGAAACATCCATGATACAGTGTACGACCAAATAGTTTTTGTATTTGTAATCAAAGTCATTATTTCTACCTTAGAATTTTTGCAATGCTGACCTTTAACGAAATTGTTGAAATCCCTGTAACATCAAACTATTTGCCATTAGCCAGAGTTGAGTTAAGAAATGAACAATTCTGGCATATCGAATAAGTTTTGAGACACAAGACTCATATACAGGTGATAGTGGAGTATTACTAGATAAAAAAAAAAGTTAATTTTTTTACACGATATATTCGACTTTGTCTGCATTTTATTGATAGTTTTTTAGTGTTATGGTTTTGAAATGTTTGCGTAAAGCTAAGTTGAGATTACTTTTGCTTTGACAATGTCATCTTAAAATAAAATTGTATTGAACTGTGAATTTTGGAGCCTCTACTGAGACAATATAATTACTGTAGAAGACGTGGTATTAATTTATGATTACCTTGGTACTTAATGTAAACGTAAGGCAAATGGACCGAACAAACTGAATTCCTTACGTGGAAAAAAAGTTACACCTTGGGAATGATGCTTGGGAATGATACTGAATTCCTTACAAAGTTGATACGTTATCATTAGAGTACACATCTTTCACAGCGGTATGTTTACTTATATAGTGCTTTTAAGTTTGAAAAATGTTCGTTATCTCCAAATATTTCCATTTCTAATTTAGTCTTTGAAAGTTAGCTGAGTTGATATCTTGATAATTCTACCGGAATGTAAATTAGGCAGGTCGATAGGTCAGGAGCTAAGGAGGTCTAATATGCATGCAAATCTCGTGCGCATCTGGATATGTGTCTGACGATAAGGAGGCCAAATATGCATGTAAATCTCGTGCGGCTGCCTCTCTGTTTGACTTCACTGGGCGAGGACTATTAATATTGGAATTTAAATCTATGTCTACATTTTTAAAATTTAAACCTACAATTTTATTTTACAATTAATGGAAGTATAATGAATTACTGTCTAATTAGTATGGGATGCCCGGGACATCAACGATAGTGGGAAACATGGGATAATTTATGCAAAATGGAATTCGCCCGTTATGCAAATTATCCCCTGTTTCCCTATATTTTTGATGCTCTGGCATACTGTACTATATAGACACTGATTCCTTTAATATTATCCAATTATCATTAATACAGTGTGAAAGTTGATCCCTTTATTACGGTTCAATGGAATTTTTTATCAGTGAAAAATATGGCAATAACGAACAGAATTCAAGATCAAAAGTCCATGAATTAATACAGAATAGGAGCAGAGCAAAATACGGACTTCAAATGTCAAACACACGCCCATTATGCTAAGCCCATCATGCTAAGTTTTAAAAGAGGGAGTCATATAGTGATAAAAATAGTTTTGAAAGTCCATTGAACAATGCATATAGGAGCAGCTTAAACATGGACCTCCAAATCATCAGAGGTGGGATAAGGTGCCATATAAGAGTAAGCATCCCCTGCTGACCGGTCACACCCGCCTTGGTCTTCTTGTCATGATCGGAGAATAACGGAAAAATCCATCGTCAGTTCAATGTATAAATACTCGTAATGGACTAACAATTAGTATGAAAACGTCTGTCAACATTTGACTCAATGATAAATTGTATTTGCAGACAATGCAAGGTCATTGTATCGACCCTGGAACTTACGAAATGATGACTTTAAACAAGACTGCTGTAAATCTTGATTCATCAACTTCTTTGTCCAAAATTTACCTCGGTTTAGAAATTGTTCATATACGATAATCAAATACGAATATCCAAATACGAAACAGATGTGTCAGACTCTGTGGTTTCTTTTATCTCAAGTTCATGACGATATATCGTATGGACATAAGAATGGAAATAACCATTGTTAGTTGACAATACGTCGTCGATATATCTAAATGTCGAGTTGAAGGCCAAGAATTTTTTTTCTTCCTTTCACGTATAAGATTTTGGACAAATTCTACTTCATATGATTTTCGAGTTCCATTTTTTATCGAAAAAGCAGCTATCAATTATATCAAAAAATCTGGACTCTAATTTATCGTTTGGGAATTGTTGTGTAAAAGTCATTTTTTTAAGTTGTTGAGTTTGGTAAAATCTTGTGATTTTACATTGTCCAAAAGTTCCTTGGAATTTTTAAGTATCTACATCTGATTTTCACCACTTCTTGAATATATTGTTGCACAATACTCTTTAAATTTATTTTTTCTCCTATACTTCTGTTAATATCTAAGTGAGCAGTAAAGAAAGAGGCTGGTTTGAACATTTACTGGAACCCGCTATGTATCTTTGTTTGTAAGAATTTTTAAGAAGTTTAGAAATCCAATATATATATGGTAATTCAATTTCATTTTGGTTCTTTGGGATGTTAAAAAAATAAAAATTGATATATGATTTTGAAGAATTTCTTCCTAAGAAGGGGAACTATGAGTACAAGTTGAATTACTACTTGTAGAATAAAATTCAAGTTCTTCCAAAATACAATTTATTTAATGAGCCTTACAAACGAAGACAATTTTGTTACCTGTTTTGTCAGCAGGGGCCAGGACGTACTGATCATGTAATCTATATAATTCCTTTTTTTCATTTCTGGATTATTGAATACAGAAGGACAGATGATTTTCATATTGTTCCTCAATCTTTTGATAAGCGGTTGTAAGATAGAATTGAAACAGTTAAATCTTTCTGACAATGTGTCAACGTCTTCTTTTTCATATCTCGCCCATCTATAATATATATGAAATTCAGACGCCAGTTAAAGAATCGAGGTTCCCTACATTTAGGACATTTTAGAATTAGTGATCTTAGGTCCTCATTATTAACTATATATACGTCACTGTAATAACGTGTCCAGCAGGACTATAGTGATAAGGTGAAGAAGAACATAAACACGATGGAGGATTATGTTTCAGATATTTGATATCTAGGCTCTGTACATTTTTTCTAGTTATTAAAAAGTTTGGAAGCAAAACTCGATGTATATTTATAAGAAAGACAAGGCCTAGTCTTTAACTTGAAATATGGTGGAATTCAAGACTTAACCATTTTCTTATTAAGGAGAATATGGAGATAACGAACAGTATTCAATCTCAAAGTCCATAAAACAATACAAAAAAAGAGTAGAGTAAACATGGACCCCTGAAACATCAGAGGTGGGATCAGGTGCCATGGAGGAGTGAGCATCCCCTGCCGACCGGTCACAGCCGCCGTGTGCTCCTTGTCATGATTAGGAAATAACGGAAAAAATCCGTCGTCAATTTAATTCAGTGTATAAATAATGGACTAACAATTGGTATGAAAAACGTCAGTCAGCATTTGACTCAATGATAAATTGTATTTGCTGACAAGGTCATTGTATCGACCATAGAACTTACGAATTGATGACTTTAAACGAGACTGTTGATATTCTTGTTTCATCAACTTGCTTGTCAATAATTTACCTCGGTTTAGAAATTGTTCATACGTAGAGCATGCTTTTGCGTATCGAATCAACTGAGATATATATACTCCGTATGCAGGTGATGAAGGTATATTGCTGCACAAGTAAAGGAAGTTGACGATAGAAAAGTGAAATTCATCACGTTTATCATTTATCTTGGTTGTTAGATTACCATTAGTGTCTTTTTCAAGTAAAATATCCAAGTATGAAACAGAAGTGTCGGACTCTGTGGTATCTTTTATCTCAAGTTCACCAGGATATATCGAATCGACGAAGAATAATACTTATTACCGTGTCAATTCATTTTTGGCATATTGAAATTTAAGGAAAAGACTGATCGATTTAGCTGTATTTTTTTTCAGTAAAACATGGATGTTTAATACAAGCAAGAAGAATATTTTAGTTTCCCACATATAATTAACAAACCTTGATTTTTCTTTGTCTTTTTAATCAACACGCCAACCCCTAACACAAAGAAGAAATAATTTAGTTTCCTACATATTAACAAACTGTTTACTTTTTAATCAACGCCCCAAACCTTTACACCCCCTTCTTTTTTCCACGTAAAGCAATCTTCTATGTTTTACAAATAAGGACTGGAGATCCGTTTTTCCCCCTTTTGTTAATTAACTGATGCCATTTTTTTTTCTTTTTTGTGAAGGAGGCCTTTTGTTGTCTAATACACTTGTTTATTTTTGGTTAGATTGGGGCCTCTATCTATGCTAGTAACATAGGAGCTCCGATGTTCATTGGACTGGCAGGAACTGCAGCAGGATCTGGTATCGCTGTCACTATATATGAGTGGCATGTGAGTTATTTTTATCTCTGATTAAAAAAAACCCACAATATTGTATTTTAGTCCCTTAAAAAATTTCCGTGAAGATGATATTGCACCAAAATGTGTTTGTATACACTCCTTTGCTTTACTTCTTCTACTCCTTTTACAAATTGTATCCATTTGCACAATATTGGCGTAAAATAATTCTTTTGATATGGCTTCTTTCAGGCCGTGTTTTTCCTGATTTTATTAGGTTGGGTGTTTCTTCCAGTGTATGTTGCATGTGGGGTATGTATATTATATCACTTAATCCTTACAATCTTTGCTTTTCTACAAAACAAAATGGAATATATGTATGATGGTATTGGTGTGACTCAATTTTCTTATCCACAGGCATACACAATACCGGAGTGGGTAAAGAAGCGCTTTGGAGGACGTCGACTGCGCATGTATGTGTCGTTCCTTGCGCTGATTGGCTACATCCTCTTCAACATATCGGTATGTTTTATTGACTCATCAAAATGTCACTTCACGATAAAGTTTCACGACATTCGACAAAGCAAGAGCGTTGGGGCTTTGGTGTTGTTTATTTTGAATTTCTCCTCGTTAATTTTCTAACCAATTGCAAACCAAAGTTTATGATTTCAATTGTTTTATTTTACATTTTGTGGGGATTTCATGTTCACATTTTACATCGTATCATTGCTTTTGTGGGAGTCAGTATATCTTTGAAAAAATTTTAGTTTTCAATGTTTTCTCTCTAATTGCAGCTGTTTTCAATTAACAGACATTTTCATTAAAGAAGTCGAAAGCGCACATTTTAAACAACCCCTATACATTTTTTCTGTACTTTTGAGTTATATCTTTTTTCCATTTGTATAACAATGAATCATATTTACGCAATGATGCTGTTTGGCAAGAATGAATTAGTTTTCCAACTGTTTCCACAAAAAGAAAAGACGAAAGGTCTTGTTTCATTCTCTTTATTTGATAATTTTTGAAGATAAAAAAATCCTCATTAAAAGTAAAGAACTATAATGTAAAGAAATTGTTTTTTTTAAAGATATCTGCAAGATTTCAGGAGATAAATACTGTAGAAGAACAAATTTTAGTGGGCATAAAATTTCGTTGTTTTGTCATCAAAAATTGTTTCGCAGGCATTTAATTCCGTTGTTTTGAAAGTAACCCTATTCAATACATAGTCATATAAAATTTTGTGTGGGATTTAATTTCGTTAAAGATTTAGTTTACTCCTGTTTCATTGGATACCATTTTTAGGCTGAAATATATACCGGAGCAATATTTCTTCAACAAATGTTAGAATGGAACATCTACCTGTGTGTGAGCATCATTCTAGGAATAACAGCAATATATACAACAGTTGGTACGTAGATTACCAAGTTTGATTATTTCATAAAAAGTCAATATAATCAAAAGTAAAAAATATATATTAACACTTTCTTATTTATGCTGTTTCCCAGATGACTTATTAATATTAAGGTATGATATTCATGTTTAAAGTTTTAAAAATGTTAAAATTTTGACTGATTTTCTTTCAGGTGGACTGGCCTCCGTCATCTACACGGATACTCTACAAGCTGTGGTTCTTGTTATCGGAGCTACGATACTGTTTTTCATTTGTATGTATACATGTAGAAAGTTTTGCAGAATAATACCATCAAATTGTTCATAATACGTGTATAAGTAGAGGTACATGTATTTTCAATACTTCAAATAATTCGTCTATTAGTACTTCTGAAGCAATTTTAGGCTTAATACATCACTGATCCTGAAGTAAGTTTGAACGTTTTAAAGGCTCACGGCCTCACACCTCAAGTTGGTCTTAACTACTTAAGAATTATCTTTTTGTGATATTTGATTGCATGGAACAAAAGCAACGCTAATCCAACAATTTTACAAAGGATTTTGTTTTTGTAACGGAATACTTAATTAAAATTAAGGTTTGAAATTAAAATAGCGGTTTAACTAATGACAATCATTGTTCAGCGATCATTAAGGTGGGAGGATACGAAGAAATGGAAACCAAGTTCATGGCTGCCATGTCAAATGAAACTCTTCACAATCAGACCTATTTCAAATGCGGGGTTCCGCCGGCGGATTCCCTCCACATCTTCAGAGACCCTGTGACAGGTGACATCCCCTGGACTGGGGCTTTGCTGGGACTGTCCACTCTTGGACTTTACACCTGGGACCAGGACCAGGTATTCCAAGATAAATCTCTTCGTCACAATGACACTTAAGGACTTGAGTAAGAGTACAACGTTCTTAGAAATCATGTATTAGGACTTTTGTAGTTCAATATATATATATATATATATATATATATATATATATATATATATAATTGATTAGCCGTACTTGGATGGAGCTTTCTTCCAATTAGCAGTAAAGTGCCCTGGCAAATAGCAATATATTTGTTTTGTCTGATTTTAAATTTCACTCTTAATAAACTATTAGCTTCCTTTCTTTTCTCTCAGATAATTGTTCAACGCACACTATCTGCCAAAAACATGGTTCACGCCAAGGCAGGAACATTGCTAGGGGCCGCGCTGAAACTGACTGGGTTCCTTCTCTTTGTTATTCCTGGAATGAACAGTCGCATACTATTTAAGGGTAAAGGTTGTCGTTCATAAACTGTTTAATGAAAGATGTGGAGATAACGAACGGTATTCAAGCTCAAAAATCCATTATACAAACAAAATTTGGAGCAAAGGAAACACCTTTTAAAGATCAGAGGTAGGATCAGGTGCAATTAAGGAGTGAGCATCCCCTTTCGACCGATTTAGTGAGGAGTAAAGAAAGAGGTTTGGTATAACATTTTAATAGTATTTATGAACTTGTACTATTATAAAACCTTATTTCTTTCGGTATATTATTTTTCAGAGGAAGTTGCTTGTGCAGATCCAGACAAATGCATGGAATATTGTAAAAACAAGAGTGGTTGTACAAATATAGCATATCCTCTGATGGTTCTCAGGTTGCTTCCTAAAGGTTTATAAATAATTTGATTCTTGTTGGTCCTTTACTTTTTGTAAATATCTATTTAACATTATGCCTATTTATACATTAAACATATTTAAATGAATAATACAGTAAGGATTGAACAACAGGCAAGGTCTATGTTCACCTTCACCTTATATGCATATTCTTATTTAGGTCTACGTGGACTAATGCTTGCTGCTCTGCTAGCTGCGTTAATGAGTTCTCTAACCTCAATCCTGAACAGTGCTAGCTCCATCATGACTCTAGATATCTGGCACCAGTTTCGGAAGAAGGCTTCTCAATACGAATTGATGATTGTTGGACGAGTTACTGTTCTTGTCCTGATTGGCTTCAGCATTCTTTGGTTACCTATTTTACAGTTGACACAGGGAGGTAGATTCTGGTTTTACATGCAGTCTGTAAAGTCATATCTCATCCCTCCCCTGTGTATGATGTTTTTGTTGGGGTTGTTCTGGAAAAGAACCACTGAACAGGTAAAACAACTTCGTTCATTTTAATTGCACGAAGGGTAAAATACTTATAACCCATAAACACTTATTTACTCTATATTTTAGGGTGTGTTTTGGGGCCTGATGCTTAGCCTCGTTATGGGAATTGTACGTATGGTTTTAGATTTCACTTTCCTCGCACCTGCCTGTGGCAGTAATGAAGTCGACACAAGGCCTGAAATTATCTCCAAGGTGGATTTTCTACATTTTGCAACACTCCTGGCATTGTTTGCAACAATTGCTATGGTTATTATCAGTTTGGTGACACAACCCCGTCCAGAAAACAAGGTATTACATTCTTTGGTCGACTGAAAGTAGAAGTACTATTTAGTTGCTAATCGACAATACCAATAAATTAGTTGTATTTTTAGCTCCATCGTTTGACATGGTGGACTAGAAATGATGAAGAAGAGCCAGAACTATCAGATTATGAGGATGAGGATGTTCACATTTCTGCCCACGTGAAGGGCAAAGATCCTAAATCCGCCCACATGAAGGGCGAGGATCCTAAAACAATGGACATTCAGGAACCGGTGGCAGAGGAAGGTAGATCGCAATTGATATCACAAAAACAGTTACAGTTTTGTATTGTAAGATGACGACATGTCTTTATGGTGATTTTGTTGATTGGCAATAATTCGCATGTTGTTGCCAATTTAATTTAATGAAAGAACAAAAATTAGCAATTTTAATTTATTATAAACTGTAAACCAAGTTTTATTAGCGATTTTCCCCGGGGGAACAATAGTTCACGACGATTATTTTCGCGATCAAGCCTTTATTTATCTTGTGTTGATTGACAGGTTAGCAGCGAAAAATATTCGCAATGATGAGGCTCTCACGAACTTCGCGAAAAATGTTCTCATACGAATTAAAGCTGGTTTAACGTATTAAGATCAAAAATCAAAGATACTCTTGATTGAAACTTTTCTTCAAGGGAAAATCAATGAAAAAAATTTTCAATGATATATATATGATATGAAAATGTATCCTTGTAGTAAAATTTTGTGGTTTTTTGTATTCGACAAAATATCTTTCAATTATCCTCAATATGTGATATCTCTTTAAGACATGCGAGAAGACACTACAAGTGTTGGTGTTAACTTCACTCCTTACTGTTATGTTACAATGTTACATATTAATCAAATAATTTCATATCTGTAGCTTAATTGGTAATTTATATGCATAAATCAATTCATTTTTGCAGCAAGTGGACTTCGGCGAATTAAGGTCCTTTGTAAGAACTGGGTTTGTGGAATAGATGAAGATGCTAAGCATGATATTACAGCTGCTGAATTCAAAGAATTAAGGAGGAAAATGACGTCATTAGATGAAGCCTCAAGATGGAGAAAGGTTCTTAACTTTTCAGCAATAGTCATTGGTGTATTCACAGTGTTTTTATTGGGATTTTTTCATTGATATCTATTGTATTATGCTTAGTTATATACCAATCAATTTATTTGTATTTAAACGGTTTTTAAGTAATCATAATGTTATTATAGTTATGCATGGAAATATAGAGTGTATCCTGTAGAATACAGTATAAAAATTGTGAAATTGAATATTGATTGACAGAACAAAATGTTAAAAAGTTGTTTATTACAATTCTTGACATATCACCACAATACAATAATGCTTAATGGCATTGAGGACCTTATAATGATTGTAATCTTTATTATATTATAATTTTTCTCCTTTTTCGGTACGATTTCAAAGAAATGAGATTGTCTAAAATATCCTGAACTATTTTGGAAAAAATCACTTCCAATTGTGTATTTTTATGCCATTAGAAAAGAATTTATCATTGCAAGGTGTCAAAAACAGTAAGAAAATGAGAGAGTAATACTGTAAAAGCACAAATATTCATGGGGGATTAAATTTCGTTTATTTTCTTGTTAACAAAATTCAACGAAATGAAATCCCACACGAAATCTTATATGACTATATATTGAATGGGGTTAGTTTTAAAACAACGAAATTAAATACACATAAAATTATTTTTGATTACAAAACAACGAAATTTTGTGCCCACGAAAATTTGTGCATCTACAGTATGTAGTTGTCCCCTGACTTCTGCTCAAATCTTCCTGTGTTTAACCCATGAATAATGGTAATCATTTTTTTAAAATTAGAAATGTAGGTCTAACTATCGTTTCTTATCCAAATGAGATGTATTTCATTTCCTCCGTTTTTGCAATTGTTCATGTATACGTTTCACTGGGTGTATTCACTTGTTAAACACTATACACAGCACTGCATGCGGACTTACAGAACTGATGAGTTGAATTTGACATCGCACATTTTCTGAATTACAATTTTAATATATTTCATTGATACAACAAAATTGCTATCTTTCTTAAGTATTACATATAAAGTTAGAATTAATGAAAGTGTAAGGATGTGTCAATAAAACACGTTCAGAAATTCGTCCAGAAAAATAAGATTTTTATTATATTTTCGTATGAAATGCTATAGCAACATTTATCCCATGTTTAACCCTTTATCCCGTTGATATAGCTCATGTGATATCGTTTTCATATCATACACTTGTGACGTCACAATGGATTTTGCGTTAGAGTGATGAAGTAAAATGAAATGAAGTCCTGTATAAAAACAGTGTCAAACATTGTTCGTGGTGTAAAAAACCACGATTGTGTGTTGTGTGTTTTTATCCCCTCGCCAAGGCTCGGGTATAAAATCCACACAACTCGGTGGATAAAAATCATATCCAACTACAAATCATGTGAGATCCTATATATAAGTCATGAAATTATACAGAAAATTAGAGAAAATATTACCATCAAATCTGTGTCCAAGCTACTTTAAGAAATTGTGTGACATTTCCCGGTGAGCTTGAAATAAAAGATACATGGACCACGGAGTTCGACACATCACTTTCAGATTTGGATATTTTACTAGAAAAAGACGTTAATGGTATCTAACAACCAAGCTATATGATAAACGTGATTCACTGACTTTCACTTTTCAATTGTCAACTTCCCTGAATTATATAGCAATAAAAGCCCTATCACCTGCATACGGCATTTATAAGTACATGTATCTTCCAGTTGATTCGCTACCCAGGAGCATGTTCTATACATACGATCAATTTTTAAAGCCAAGGAAACTTTTAATCAACAAGTTGATGAAACATGGATATAAAAGGAACGGTCTCATTCGAAGTAATCATTCTGCGAGTTTCTTGGTCGATGCAATGATCCTATGATCATGCATATGGTTAGTGACAATCAAGCCTTATCGGACATATAGTCACCACTATTCAATTTACGTTATAATGATTGTAAGTACAACCTATCCTTTATCCATCTAATTAAGATGGCTACAAGGTGTGGCCCGTCAAAAGGGGATGCTTATATCTCCTAGGTACCTGATCCCATTTGTTTCTTCCCAAAGGTTAGTGGTTTTTCACTATTCAAAATCGCACACTTCACTTAGTAAATAAGATTAATCACTGTTGTTGTCTTATTTTAGCTTAGTTATTCTCCCTTTTCTAACTTTATATATAATTTTTAATACACCGAGCACACACTTGTTTATTTTAATTGAAGCATATTTGATTTACGAATAATCTGTTTGATTTTCTAACGTTGTTGTGAGAGCAGATACACTAATCTTAACAAAACTTTCATCAAACAATTAAGGGGTACCGACCCTCTGATATGACAGATAACTCTCAGAGACAGTCAGAGTACAAAATATGAATACTACTCACAGTTTTCTAATTTAGACCTCTAAGTAGTCAATTCGATGAAACCTAACATGTGATGGAAACATTACTTTCTATTTGTTTTGCCAATCTCTTACTAATTGTTTTATCATAATTAACAATAAAACATTTAAATCCTACTTCAAAGGCATTTTTAATTGAATAAGTTGTATTTTTTAAAAGACCATTTTAATAATGGTTTAATGTTTCAAGTACTTAATACAGAACTTTTATAAGTATGACTTTTTTTTTCATATGAAGAAATCTTTAGAAGAAAGATAACTCCTCCTCACAGATGTATTTTTTCTTACAACCACATACAACATTGTAATTTTCTGACTTAGGAAGCATCGCTTCATGATGTTTTCTGACATGATTTTCATAGGTATTATACTAAGTATTATTTTCATATACACCTCATATTTCAAATTAAATGTTATGATAATAAATCGTTACTGTTTCTGTTCTCTATGTTGAAATTTCTTCATATCATGATCTGACATAAAAATCATTTCTGAAAAAATAAGCTGCGCTTCTTACACCAAACTATTTTCGATATGGCTCTAATGTTATTGTTGTTCATGAAAATCAACATTAGAAATATTAAATTTTCTGAGTGAAATTTGATAGCAGAGGGTCGGGACCCCTTAATGATTCCTTTGAATCTCTACTTTGACTTACACCTCAAATAAAAAACAAACCTTAGAAGAATGTTTGCAGCTTTTATTGAATATTTATATTTGATTCTATAAGTATGTATGAACACTTCAAGTTGATTATTTCTATGTTAGCATCTCTTCACCAGCTACCACATTTTGTTTGCTGGTGTCTGAAAGTTGGCCCTGATCAGTCTGTTTTGTTTGGAGATCAGGGCATTCTGCATGAACTAGTTCACGGGTATACCTACATCTACCAACTGACTTGGATTTGAGCTGAATCCATCTGTAAATTACGTACATTTAACAAAAAAAAATAACCCCCATCTCAGGTTTAAAGAAAAATAATTATCATCTCCACGCGTAAAAGACGCTGTGCAACAACCATATTCATGAATACAAATTAAGTACACTTTTCAATCTTTTCAGTGCGAAAGAATTCGTAAATCATTTAAAGTAGTTATTGCCCCTGAAAGTTTATGATGTTTACGAAGAACTAAAAACTTCTTAACGGCAATTCGTAAAGACATGGGGACAACTACATGAGAGCTTTTGACCTTTGACCTTGAAAATCAGTCAAGGTCAAGGAATGAATGTAAATTGCTTTTATATGTATTTAATGACCTTGACCTTTGACCTTGCTATTTGACCTTGTTCTATGACCTTGACACTTACTCAGCTAAAAAATAATCATTATATTTAGCTAGATTCAACTTTAAGTGTTGAATTCAAGTTTAGATTTATTTATTTGAATGACTTTGACCTTTGAACGTTGACCTTTTACCTTGACCTTTCACCCAAAGGTCACAATTAAACACACAAGTGTGTTAAGGAAGTTACAACTCTCACTTTAAAAAATGCTTAGAGTAAATCAGTTTACAATCCCCACCCCTTTTCCTTTAAAAAATTAATTTCTCTTAGACGCAAACAAAACCTCGGATCAACATAAAATCAATTCTCTTTAAAGCAAACGATTATACTGATATTAAATAGTATTTAAACACCAAGCACTCAAGAAAAATAAAAAGATTTAGGTCCTTAAAAGCAATTAAGAATTCTGTGTATGTACCGAATGACATATAGACCTCATGGACAGAGTGCAAAGTGTTTATTTTCATAAATTATGTATATCAAATGCTTTGTATGCACAATAACACTATAATAAACAAATATATACTTGCTAAGTTATTTTCAATCAACCAAAACGATTTTATTTCAATAGACAAGTGGTAATTAAAATTTTATATTAATGTGTAAAATTAAAACCGGATCCTAATCTGGTCATTGGTCATGTGCAAAATTATTTTATTAAAACACATTCTGATTGTACAAACAAGTACTCTGAAGTTGACATCAAAGATTTGCTTGAGTTTCTAAATTGACAATATCTATGTAGTTTTTGGAGACCAGGTGTTCCAACAATTTATTGGAATTCCAATGGGTACCAATTGCTTATTAGGAGACCTATTTTTGTATTCATTTGAAGCAGAATTTATGCAAAATCTTATGCGTGAAAAGAAGAAAACACTTGCTGTGGCCTTCAACTCGACTTTCAGATATATCGATGACGTATTGTCAATTAATAATGGTAATTTCCATTCCTACGTTGATACGATATATCCTGGTGAGCTTGAGATAAAAGATACCACAGAGTTTGACAGATCTGTTTCATACTTGGATATTTTACTTGAAAAGACATTAATGGTAATCTAACAACCAAGCTACATGATAAAATTAATATAACAAAAATGGGGGTATACATATTCAAAAGACTGTTGTAAAAATTCTCTGGTCAGCCATAATAAAGTATGTGTTTTTGTTAACTTTAAATATAATTCTTAAAAGTTTAAAGAAAAAATGGCATCTAAACAGTTCTGATTTTGAGAATTATAAAAATAAAGAGATTTTGAGATTTCTTTCTGAAATACATGGAAAGATTTAACATCAATTTGTTAATGTTTTGCAGTAAAGATTTCAAATATTCTCTTCGCAAATGAATATTCTTTTATCTTCATGAGTTTTAATATAGATTAAATTTGATGTGATTTTGTGCATAACTAAAAAAAATATATCGCATATCTTTATGGTCAATTTTGGCTGTTGAGTTTCTAGAAGAAGGATATGGAGATAACGAACAGTATTCAATCTCAAAGTCCATTAAACAATATACAAAATAAGAGCAGAGCAAACACGGACCTCCGAAATATCAGAGGTGGGATCAGGTGCCATGGAGGAGTGAGCATCCCCTTGCCGACCGGTCACACCCGCCGTGTGCTCGTTGTCATGATCAGGAAATAACGGAAAAAATCCGTCGTCAATTTAGTGTATAAATAATGGATTAACAAATCCGTCAGCATTTGACTCAATGATAAATTGTATTTGCTGACAAGGTCATTGTATTGACCATAAAACTTACGAAATGATGACTTTAAACGAGACTGTTGATATTCTTGTTTCATCAACTTGTTTGTTATTAATTTACCTCGTTTAAGAAATTGTTCATACGTAGATCATGCTCTTGCGTATCGAATCAACTGAGATATATATACTCCGTATGCAGGTGATGAAAGTATATTGCTGCATAAGTAAGGGAAGTTGACGATAGAAAAGTTAAAGTCATCACATTTATCATATAGCTTGGTTGTTAGATTACCATTAGTGTCTTTTTCAAGGAAAATATCCAAGTATGAAGCAAAAGTGTCGGACTGTGTGGTATCTTTTATCTCAAGCTCACCAGGATATATCGTATCGACGTAGGAATGGAAATTATCATTATTAATTGACAATACGTCGTCGATATATGTAAATGTCGAGTTGAAGGCCACATCAAGTGTTTTCTTCTTTTCATGCATAAGATTTTGCATAAATTCTGCTTTATATGAATATAAAAATAAGTCTGCTAATAACGGAGCGCAATTTGTACCCATGGGAATTCAAATTGATTGTTGGAATACCTGGCCTCCAAAAACCACATAGATATTGTCAATCAGAAACTCAAGCATCTTTTTGATGTCAACTTCAGAGTACTTATGTGTGCAATCAGAATCTGTTTTAACAA